GGAGATTCTCTTGCCTCAGCCTCCCAAGTGGCTGGGACTACAGGCACCCGCCACAACACCCAGCTATTTTGTTGTTGTTGTTGTTATTGTTGCAGTTCGACCAGGGCCAGGTTTGAACCCACCACCCTCGGTATATGGGGCCGTCGCCCTACTCACTGAGCCACAGGCGCTGTCCCTGTTACTGATTTCTTTCTTTTTTTTTTTATTGAATCATAGATGTGTATATTAATACTATCATGGGGTACAGTGTGCTGTTTTTATAGACTTGCTTCTTTTGTTCTGTCTTCAAGGCAACAAATACACTTTAATACACTTTAATTCACTCATCCTAAATATCCCAATCACCCTTCCCAGGAAATACAAAAGGACTCATACTATTTAATACCCATTACTAAAGTAGATAAAACAATCTAGGTTGTAGCAGAGAAAGGATAAAGCCAGAATTATAGTCTCCTTTTACTTTGTTGAGAACACTGTTCTTACATTAATTCAAAACAGAGGGACCAGACATCAGCTCTGCTTCATGTCTAAATCTACACAGATTTATCTCTGCATCAAAATTCTATTACAATAAATAATTTTGAATTTTGAAATTATAACAGTAATCTAATATTTCATTAAAAGAAAATCTGTATTTTGTCAACTCTAGATCATCTGTGTGAACACAGGGAGATGGTAGGGATAATCCAAGATTAATTTATATTTGCCTTTGTTCAACTCTAGATTCATCCAAAGTAGAGAATGGCATAATTTTTATAGCTAGAAGGGACTTAAAGATCATTTAGTCTATCCTTGACATTTTGCAAAAGAAGGAGCTAACACCCAGAGAGATTAAAGGACTTGAACAAAATTCTAATGCTTTCTCAGCTATAACACAGTCTCTTTTTAATTAAAAAGGTAGTAATATGTATGTAAAGAACTGTCTATATATAACTGGACAAAGAGCTTTCTTACCAAAGAATAATGTCTCTCTCTCTCTACATATATAGTCACTAGTGACTATATATATATATACATATAGTGTGTGTGTGTGTGTGTGTGTGTGTGTGTGCATAGTCATTCATCTTCACCTACTCAGATCCTGGCCCCCTCTTAATTATAATTAACTTATAGAAAGCACAATGGGAGCTCCCACAATGGGAGATTCCTCTTACCATTATTACTCATGAAGAGGGAATTGGAAAAGGAGGACTCCATTTAGCTGCTAAGACAATAGGGAAAGTTACAGGAAATAAGCTCTTTAATTGGTGTATAGTAAAAGGAAAAAAACCAATTCTTTCTTGCCGCCAAACTAATTCATGTTGTCCCAACTCTAATTGGAGCCTCAGCTGTATTTTCCAATGATATAATGCATTTTCTTATGAGCTAAGTAGTATTCTATGGGGCAAGTGGAAATCTAATAACTATATTTAACAAAGTTCCTATGGAAAAAATATAAGTTAAATCTCAAATATTTAACTTACCAAAGTTTAAAATATAACCTAACCTAAATTAAGGATTTCCTGGATATACTGAACAGACTCAAACATACCTACTAACATTTTATATGAGTATGTAAATATGTAAAAAGAAGAATGAACTAGCTAATGAGTAAATGAACAGAAAAAAAAGTACAAAGACATACTTAGTTATGTGAAGAACAAAGGGGAAAACCCTGACAATTTCAGGAAGAGTGATTTTTCCGCAATCCTAGGAATAACCAAAAGAAGCTCAAAACCTTTTCTGCCTCTAAGTGTTTCCTGCTCCACTAACCACATCCAAGAGCTTCATATCTCTAGAGGCAGGTAAGCAGCAATATAGATGACATGAGAAGGTGACTAGCTAAAGAGGCCATGGAATTCTATTTCATACTAAGTTGTAGTTGTCTAAATACATAAAGCAGTAAACGCACCGGGTCATTAGGGTCAACAGGATTTCCAAATGCATTCAGGCGATCAATAAGTTCCTTGAGATCTTGGCCCATTCGTTTCAGCTGAATGTCTATATTTTCAGCTAATTTGTAACTGCAAAGGCAAGTGAAATAAAGGAATTAATAAGAAATGTTTTCTGTGCATCCTATTGTTACTGACATTCAAAGATGATACCACCAACTGAATTTTCCCCAATTCCCCTACCTTCTTAGTGGGTCCCCATTATGACCAATGGCACATTTTCATGGACACAGCATTTATGACTTTATTATTACCATATTTTGCTTTTTGTTGGCACCTATTTGCCCTCTGACTAAAGCTCTTGGGATTTCTGGAGCAAAAGAACACTTTTTAGGTGTCAAAATATACCCAGAGGACATTCAGATATATAAGAGAAGTTATTTGCTATTTAACAATATTCAGTAAATCCTGAGATGTCTTGAATGATATTAAATACACAAATTTTCAAAGTAAAACCTTATATAAATATATGCCACCAGGAAACAAAAATGTTTTAAGAAATGAGCTTCACATAATCCAAGGTAGGTAAATTTATTAAGTTCACAAATTGATCAGTTGCCTGAATTCTCAAGATTTCTGTCCAAACTATCACACCCCTAACCTAGTTAATAGATATGTTTATGAGACTCAAACTTAGGGTGACCAGATTTTAACATTTGTAAAGCGGTACAACATGGCTGTGGGGGGGGAGTGGGGGGCAGGGGCGGGGGCAAGGTAGGGCCTGACAACAATTCAAACTTTGATAAGCAGTTCTCGATAATCACTTCTCAACCATTATTTGTTATTATTACAGTTTAACATTATAAAATTAACAAAAATAATATAAAACTCATATTCTGGCAAAATAGCCACATGGCAGCTGAAAACCGTATATTCCCTTCCTGTTCTTCCGCCTGTTCGTACAGTCTTTCCAAAAATCGGGACTTTTTAAAAACGCTGCAGGACGCGGGACAAATTGTTCAAAAGCTGGACTGTCCCACCAAAAGTGGGACGTCTGGTCACCCTAATCAAACTGGCCTGAGGATATTTCAACCTGAATGTGTATAAAGAAATGATTGGAGGGAAAGTGGGGGGAGCAAGATGGCAGACAGCTTTTTTGCAGCCGTGCATGGAGAGATCTGGGAGAAAAGACCTCAGGCACCTCTGGCTCGTAGGATCAGCCCAGAAACATCCCTTCAGGGCAACAGTGAGGCAGCAGGGAAATATCAGGACCCCAAGAGGAGGACAGAATCAGTGGAGAAGCAACACAAGGGCAAGTACTTGGGGTGGCAGCAGCGACAGTTTACAGACAGAGAATGCCTGCCCTGTAAGTTTTTATTTTGGACCTGAGAACTTGGTTGAGTTATGCTGGGAGGGCTTGGGCGAGTGAGCAAGTGATTTTGAACAGCTCCCAGGGCTGGGACTAAGCCACCGGACAAAACGGAGCATTGATTGTTCAGCTGTAGGCCAGGTGCGGCCATTGTGGGAAAGCTGCCTTGCAGGTTCAGCCCTCGGGGTCCTAGTGTGACCGGTTCTGGTGTGCTTAATAAGGGGGACAGCCACTTCTGGGGAGATTTGAGCAACACATGCTTTCCTGGGAGAAAGCCACTGTGTGGCCAAGGGACACAATTTGGAAAGGTCAAGGAATGTCTATTAAGTGGGCTGAGGAGAAACTTCAGGCTCCCAACCCTGTGGTATTGAGGGCAAAGAAGGCAGGAAGACCAGGTCTCCCTGGCAAGACAGAGGTTTCCAGTCTCCATCTTATACAGCTGTATCTGTATTGATTAGCATCTCATACCTCAGAAGATAACCTGTTGCCCAGGTAATGTATGGCAAGATATATATATATATACATATATATATACACACACACACATATATATACACACACATACATGTATATAGACACAAATATATTTTCTTTTAAAAATTTGTTTTTCAATTTTCCCCCCTATATTTTTTTCTTCTTTTTTCTCATGTAATTATAATTTTTCATTGTCTCCATCTTTAATAATAAGGGCTTCATTTTTGCTTGAGATCAATAGAAGTATGCAAAATTGCCAGAATGAGTTTTTCATTTCAAGCATCTAGAAAGGATAAAAAAACCAAGTTGATAAATGCCAATGATAAAAACTTGTCCTTTCGTACCAATTTGTATCCTCTGCCTTCTAGTTTAATTTTTTCTCTTTTCTTGAACTCTCTCATAGTACATAAGTCCTGCCCCATTCCTCAATCTTTATGCAGTTACTTACGTCTTCTCACGCTCATCTTCATGCTGCGGATAAGCCAGCCCATTCTGGTCCTTCATAGAGTCCTCTAAAGGTGTCAGCATAGCTTCTAGTTCCTTCTGCTGTAACAGGATGAAATCTAATTCTTGTTCCAGCCTGAATAAAACAAGTCAACAAAAGGGCTAATGAAAGGAAGTGGGAGTGACCAAAAATGTTAATAAAATACAACAGGGAAAAAAAATTGAATAAAAAGATGTCTTTAATCTTTCAACCTAGGAGATCTAAGGTTCTACCTTTTCTGGTCCAGTTTCACTTTTTCCATTTCCGCATGTAAAACAGTAATCTACAAAGAGAAAATAAGAATACAATAATATCAACATTTAGTTAATAATTTTAGAGCAATATTAATTTTTTCAAATACACTTCAAATGTGAAAGATTTCCTAATACAGGGTTAAGGAATACATAGATTATTACCTATGGAAAATATCTGGAAGCTGCTCACCAATATTGGAATAGAAAAGGAATCACAAAACACATCTGTAAATACCTGTATAATGCAGGTAGATTAATGAGAATATCTTCTTACCTTCTCACCATTCTCAATCAATGCACGGCCCCAAGCATTGACCTGGGTGGCCTGGTGAAGAAAGCGCCTCTCATGATCTTCCATCTCAAGGTTCCAGTTATTTATAAGACCCTCAAGATGACCGTATGTCATCACGGGAGTTACTATTGCACTAAAAAAAAAAGAGATGCAGGATGATCATATAATCATACCTTTAAAAGTCTGCCTGGGTTTTTAAAATGAACAACACAGAAGGACTCTGAGAAGAAAACCGCATGTGAGGAGTTTCTCATACTTGCTCTCCAACAAAACAACCATGGTGAATAAAGATTATTAAAAATAATTGTACAAAGTTTCTTGAAATTATGCTAAGAAAATACAGCAAGTAAAGATTTATTAAGAAATATACGAAATTACAAAAAGCACAGATAAAGTCTGTACCACAATCTGAACCGGTTTTCTTTTCCCCATCCCAGCTCGGCATGAAGGAAGCTCCTTATGGGTGGATATGGCCAAGGCCACAGGACTCTCTCTCCCTGCCAGCTCTTGGTCACTGATGCATTCCCCTGTCTGTATCCACAAGAAAGTATGTATCTTCCAGTGGTTAGAACCATGAGGAACTCCAATTCCCCTGCCAGGTAGTAACCGTAAGGCTGAGAAGCTGCCTGATCTGACCAGCAGAGCTCTGCAATGCTCTGATTCCTCTGCTGAGACTACTCTTACATTCTGAAATCATGTTTGTTGGCTGAAGCAAAAATTGTAACCTCATGTGATGTGATGTACAATGAATATAGAGGAAATAGTTGAGACAATTATACTTAAAAGGTAAGAAGGGTAAAGGAAAAGAAAACAAAGTAAGATTTCTATACTTCACTCAAAATGGTAAAATATGAATATGACTACACTGCTGTAAGTTATGCATGTGTACTGTAATAAATAGAGTAACCAGTAATAAAAGTATACAAAGCAATATATTTTTTAAAAACACTATAAAGAGAAAATGTTGAAACCCTAAAAATATTCGAACAACCCACAGGAAGGTTAGAAAAAAAAAGGAAACAAAAGAACAAAAATCAGATGTATGAAACAACTAAAATGAGATACTTAGGCCCTAACAGATCAATAATTATCTTAAATGCAAATGTGCTAAATATACCAATTAAAATACAGAGATTAGCAGAGTAAAACAAACTCAAAAATAAGCTATCTATTAGAAACTTACTTCAAATACAAGGAGATAGGTTGAAAGTTGACAAACTGAAAAAGATGTATCATGCAAGATATATTTTTTTAAAAAATAGCTATGTCAGTATCAGATAAACAGTAAAGAAAATGATCAGGGCCAACACTGGATTGTACATGATGATAAAAGAATCAAGGCACCTCTGGGAGGCTGAGATCAGTGGATCACCTGAGCTCAGGAGTTCAAAACCAGCCTGAGCCAGAGCAAGACTTCCTCTCTAAAAATAGCCAGCCATTGTGGCAGGCACCTGTAGTCCCAGCTACTTGGGAGGCTGAGGCAAGAAAATCACTTAAGCCCAAGAGTTTGAGGTTACTGTGAGCTGTGACACCATAGCACTCTACCAAGGGCAACAACATGAAACTGTCTAAAAAAAAAAAAAAAGAAAAGAAAAGAAAAGTAAAGAATCAAGGCACCAAAAAGGCTAACAATCCTAAATATGTAAAGAACCAAAAAAAACAGAGCTGTGAAATACATGACCAAACTGATAGAGCTAAAAGAATAAATAGACAAATCCACAATATTAAAGAGTACAAAAAGCTACTTTTTACAACTGAAAGAGTTACTAGAAAGAAAAGCAGCAAGGATACAGAAATTATAATGAAGTAACGTAATTTGACACACACACACATATATATGTATATATATAAATGAAAATAAATAGAACACTCCACCTACCAGCAGAAAACACCACATCCTCATCCATAAAACAAACCCAAAGATCTAAAAACCACACAGAGCATGCTCTCTGACCATAATGGAGTCATACAGGAAATCAACTCAGAAAGAAAAAAAGAAAAGAAAATTTCCAAACACCTGGGTATCAGATAATATGCTTGTAAATAATCCGGGAGTCAAGAAGAATTTGTAAAGGTAATCTTAAAAGTATATAGAATTAATGAAACCACAACACAACAGAGTGTGTGGGACCAAGCTAAAGTTGTGCTGAGAGGAATATATTTATAGCACTAAATGCATATGTTAGGGGGAAAAATGTCATACAGCAATCATACCTCCACAAACAGAAAAAAGAGCAAAATGAACCCAATGTAACCAGAAGGGAAAAAAATAATAGATATCAATGAAATTGAAAACAGAAAAAGAGAGAAGATTAATGGAACAGAAATTGGTCCTTTGGGAGAAGATCAATGAAAGGAACGGAATTCTTCCCAGATTATTTTATAGGGCCATTATTACCCTTCTGTCAAAACCAGAGACATTAAAAAAAAGACATAAACCAGTGCTCGCTTCAGCAGCACATATACTAAAACTGGAACGATACAGAGAAGATTAGCATGGCCCCTGTGCTAGGATGACAAGCAAATTCATGAAGAATTTCATAATTAAAAAAAAAGACATAAACCACCTATGTCAGAAATGAAACAAGAATATCTCCACAGCTATTGAGAGGACAATAATAGAATATCATGAACAATTTTATACTCATAAATTTGACAACTTTGAAAAAAATGGACCAATTCCTTAAAAAACACATACTACTAACATTCATCAGAGATAAATTAGATAAACTGAATAGTCCTAGAATCATTAAATAATTATGATTTGTTATTTAAAAGCTCCTGTAAGAAAAGTCCAGGCCCAGAGTGTTTCACTGGAGAATTCTGTTAACATTTAATAAATTAACACCAATTTTACACAATTTCTTCTAGAAAACAGAAGAGAAGAAAATTCTTCTCAGATTATTTTATAGGGCCAGTATTACCTTTACATCAAAACCAGAGACATTAAAAAAGAAGAAAGTTACAGACCAATGTAACCAAAAGTTACAGGTATCTCTCAGGAACTTAGATACAAAAGTCCTCAAACAAAATACTAGCAAACCAAATTAAAAAAAAATTGTATAAAAATTACATACCATGACCAAGTAGGATTTATTCCACATATGTAAGGCTGATTGAAAATCTGAAAATCTATCAATGTAATCTACTATTTTCAACAAGACAAAGAAAAAAGTCTTAAAAGATCACATTAATTGAGGTCGAAAAAGCATTTGACACAAATATGTCCAGCTGACTTTTGACAAAGGGGTAAAAGCAATTCAGTGGAGGAAGATAGCCTTTCAACAAATGATGTTGGAAAAAGTGGACATCCATAGGCAAAAAATTGGCTCGGCGCCCATACACAGTGGTTACAGCGCCAAACACATACACACTAAGGGTAGCGAGTTCAAATGTGGCCCCGGCCAGCTAAACAACAATGACAACTGCAACAAAAAATAGCCAGGCGTTGTGGTGGGCACCTGTAGCCCCAGCTACTTGGGAGGCTGAGGCAAGAGAATCGCTTAAGCCCAAGAGTTGGAGGTTGCCGTGGGCCATGATGCTACGGTACTCTACTGAGAGTGACATAGTGAGACTCTGTCACAAAACAAAAAACAAACAAACAAACAAAAAGACTAAAAAATTAATCTTGACCTAAACCTCACACCTTATACAAAAATTAAAAATGGATCATGAGCTTAAATGTAAAATGTAAAACTATAAAACTTTTAGATAAAAATAGGAGAAAATCTTTGAGATTGAGGGGTAGCAAAGAATTTCATACTTAATACCAAAAGCAAAATCCATTAAAAGGAGAATAAGTAAATTATACCTCACCAATCAAAAGTTTTTGTTCAGCAAAAAGGTCTTATTTAGAGATTAAAAGATAAGTTATGGAGTTAGAGAATATATCTGTAAACCATATATCTGAAAAAGAACTAATACCTAGAATATATAACAAACTCTCAAAACTGAACGGTAACCCCCCCCAAATAATCCAAGTAGAAAAATGGACAAAAGATACAAACAGATACTTAACCAAAGAGGATATACTGATGGCAAATAAACATGTGAAAAGATATTCAATATCATTAGTGATCAGGGAGATGCAAATTAAAATCATAAGTCACTTCACATTTATCAAAAAGGGCTACAATTAAAAATAGTGACAACACCATATCCTAGTGAGACTGCAGACAATTTGGATTATTGAGATGCTGCTGATGGACATGTAAAATGTCACAGCTACTCTGGAAAAGAGGTTGGCAGTTTCTTAAAAAGAAAATCAACGTGCAACTACCATACTATATGACAACTGCACTCCTGGACATTTGTCCCAGAGAAATTAAACTTATATTCACCAAAAAAAACCCCTGCACACAAATGTTCATACCAGCTTTAGTCATAATAGCCACAAAATTGGAAACAACCTAGATGTCTGTCAACAAGGGAATGATTAAACAAACCAGGGTACACCCAAAATACCACAGAAAACTACCCAGAAATAAAAAAGGACATGCTACTCATGCAGAAAACAATTTGGGTAGATCTCAAGGAATTATAGTGAATGAAAAAAAAAATCCCCAAAGGTTACATACATGTGATTCCATCTGAATAACATTTTTGAAATGTCAAGATTATAGGAAAAAGAACAGATTAATCGTTGCCCAGAGTTAGGGAAAGGAGGGGAGAACAGCAGGTGTGGTTATAAAAGAGCAACAGGAGGAATCCTTGTGGTGATGGAACTATTCTGCATCTTCACTGTATCAGCATTGAGATGTTATCATTGGGGGGGGGGTGATATAAAGAACACAGAGGATGTTTTGTATTATTTCTTACAAATAAATGCGAATCTATGATTATCTCAGAAAAAGCTTAATTAAGAATGAACAAATACTGGAGAGCAGCAAAGCACAGTATGTAAGAATATAAGCTACGGAGCTTGACTGCCTGAATTTTAATCCAGCTTCAGCCATAGCCAAGTGTGTGAACGTGAGCAGATTATAAAATCTCTATGTACTCCGGTTTTCTCAGCTATATAATGGTAACAAAAATAGTGCCTATCTTATAGGGTCATTATTAGGTTTAAATGTTTGTAAAGCACTGTTATCTTACTAAATATATAATAATTGTACAACAAATGGTAGCTATTCTTAGCCATCGTAACAATTGTAGACAATGCTACCAGAAGGCAAAGGTGTGCTGTTGGTTGTTCAACTTCCTAAACTACAGAAATTTTTCTCTGTTTGCTCAACTCAGTCATTTATGTAACTTTCAAATATTATTCTGAAACTATATAAGAAAATCATGCCTTACACATGATAAAGAAATTAAACTCACGCAAACTTTCAAATAAATAGGCTTACTCAACAGTCGAAGTAAAAGGTGCAGAGTTACTAATGCCAGTCGATGTCGGTTTTAGGTTCAGGATAAAGCCACTGGTGATAGTGGTAGTAGTGGTGGTGGTGGTGGTAACAGTGGTGGTGGTAGTTGTCGAAGTTGTAGCTGGAAAATAAAATGTATAAAGTTAGAAGAAATTAGAAACTTGGCTCCCTTAGGGCTCCATCAGGATCATTGAAGTTAAAAATTATAAAAGCATTTTTTTAAAATGTAAATTTGAACTCAAAGTTATGGATTTGGATTCAACACTGTTGTAATGTGAAATGGTAAGTGGCAGGCCAGGTATTTGGACTAATACTTCTGCTTAAAACTAAAAATCTTAGATAAACTCACAGAAAAATAAAGCCTATAACCTAACCAGTCTTAGAACTATTAAAGAAATCAAATCACTCCTCAAAAACTCTTCCCATAAAGAAACCTCAAGCCCCAGATGTCATCACTGGTAGGTTTTACTAAACTGTCAAGGAAAGAATAATTACAATTTATACAAAATCTCTATACATCTATATGTTTGCCGACTAAAATGTCTATATCTGTGTAATTAATTACTAGAAATGAAATTGCTAGATCAAAGTTTCAGCATGCTCTAAATTTTAACCTATGTTGCCAAATTACCCTAGCAAATGATTTTGTCAATTTTCATTCTTATGAAAAGGGGAGAATGTCTGTTTCACTTTATCATAGTCAATACTAGGCATATATTTTTGGGAAATTAATAAGTAAAATCCTCTCTGTAACACAGACTGCTCTCCTACATATCTTTTGCTATTGTACCCCTACCAGAATAACTTGAACTCTATCAATAAAGTCTTAAGTATACTTCATAACCTAGCTGAAATTCTTTCTTTCCCTCATTTATAACTCAATTCTCTCCTACTAATACCTTCCTTTTTAGGTTTTCTAAACTTCTACAGCACTTTTGGTTCCTACTATACACTGAGCCCTTAATGAACAATGCACAGAAATTGTGGCTGGCAGGAACTGGGAAGGTTTTATTTTCTTCTTTTTGGTTCTCTGCTTTTTTCTCATGTTTATTTCTTACAAATAAATGTGAAATTGTAATTATCTCAAAAAAAATTAAAAATGAATAAATGCTGCTTTTGTAACAAGAAATCTGTTTAAAAGATACAACATAACAATATATAACAATTATAACACATAACATAACAAGATATAACAATTATGTTAGCCTTGCTTTTCCAATTAGCAATATTTTCAGGTTAATGGCCGCATTAGATAAATACGTGAATTATAGTGCCTGCCACATTCACTGACTATTCTTTTTTTTTTTTTTTTTAAACTTTATTTTTTAATTATTTTTTTTGTTGTTGCAGTTTTGCCAGGGTTGGATTTGAACTCACCACCCTTGGTATATGGGGCTGACACCCAACTCACTGAGCCACAGGCACCACCCTTCACTGACTATTCTTAAGGAGACTGGCCTATCCCATTCCTGTTGAGAGAACAGGTTCAGACACTCATTCTTCATTCTAGGTAACTGTCCTTTGCTTCTGGTTCACCATTTGATTAGGCCAGGGGTGTGCATCTGAAGGATGGGAAGCCATCCTGTATGCAATTAGCAGCCTAGGCAAGTTTCTGGCACAAAAAGCTCTAGCCCAACAGGAATAAGATAAGTCAGAATCTCATTTTCAAAAATTTAGCATATGGATACTAATATGAAACCAGAAGATGAACAACAATATGTCTACATGAGAGAAAAACTCAGTTAAACTCAAGTGGGGGTGGGGGAAGGAGGGGAGGGAGAGAAGAAAGGCGGGAGGGGGATTGCTAAGCTCTCACCTAATGGGCACGATGTAAGGGTATGTGGCACACCTCCTGGGTGAAGGGCTCAACTACAACTTGGACTTTACAAATGCAAACAATGCAACCTAAACTTGGACCCTCATATTCATCTGAAATTAAAAATAGCAATATGGAAACAATCTGAGTCAAAATAGAAATATGCAAAGAATCAGCCTCCAGGCAGATTTTAGAAATATTTCTAAAAGGTAATTGAAAGCAATGACAGAGGAAAGATAGGAAATAGAAAAAGGGACCATGAGCAAGTCAAAATTAAGAATAAGGTAAAACAGGAAGGCAGAAAAAGTGATAAGGAAACCAATGGGAAGTTTTAAAAAAGAAAAAAGTAGCAAAAGGGAGAGTAACAATTATGTTTATGCAATATTTAATTAAAGAGGTCTCCAAAGCTGCCTTAAGAATACTTCTTACATTTGAATTGCCTTTAGATGACAGTACCACGGCAATGACTATATTAGACTGCCATAAAATTCCATTTCCATTCTGGCCACAGGATCTTTATGATAATTCCCCATCCTTTGTGTTAGCTCTTGTGAGGGTGAACTGAGCACCACAGAGGAAGTCCATGCCCAATAACAAAACAGCTCTGGAGTCAGAACACTGGAAAGGCTACAGATTGGATGCTGTGTGGAATTCTTTACAGCCATTAAGTCATCATTTTCTTCATTTGAAAAGAAAACTCTTATCTGAAACAAAATCTTTCCCCAGAAATGCTGAAAATTAATGATATCACCAACAGATTCCCTTTACTAATTCTCTCAACTACTGAGTAACTGCTGCATTCAAGATAGAAAGAAATTTTAACATTTTTTTTTTTTTTTTTTTTTTTTTTTTTTTTTTTTTTTGAGACAGAGCCTCAAGCTGTCCCCCTGGGTAGAGTGCCATGGCATTACAGCTCACAGCAACCTCCAACTCCTGGGCTCAAGCGAGTCTCCTGCCTCCGCCTCCCAAGTAGCTGGGACCACAGGCGCCCGCCACAACGCCCGGCCATTTTTTGGTTGCAGCCATCATTGTTGTTTGGCGGGCCCGGGCTGGGGATTCGAACCCGCCACCTTAGGTGTACGTGGCTGGCGCCTTAGCCGATTGAGCTATAGGCGCCGAGCCTAGAAAGAAATTTTAACAAAAAAGAGCCCTCCCTATAAAGAAGTATATCTTCATCCTCAGATGATTTTAATAAAGTCGTCTGTATTTCCTGACATAGCCAGATGTCTAAAGATGTATACTTAAGAAGGAAACAGTGAATTCTAGAATTGTGTGCCTATGTGTACACACATACACACACACACACACAGAGAAAGAGAGTTTCATTTTCATAAAATAAATAAATTTAATGTGTTTGTAGATGTTTGGGGAAAAGGTTGGAAAGATAAATGCCAAACTGTTTTCTCTAGAGGAAGTGATATATGTACATATGTATATATGCATATATGTATAGTTTTTATAATAGAATGGGCAATTACCATCACCATCACTATCTCTAAAGAAACAGCTAAAGAGACAAACAAAGCACCTCCCCAAAGATGATGAGTGAGACCTTCAGGAAATTAATACCTGTCAGCCTAACCACAAAGGAATCTTAAAGATTATAAAAAATGGTATGATTATTTTAACCTTCTACATGACTTTTTTTTTTATTGTTGGGGATTCATTGAGGGTACAAAGAACCAGGTTACATTGATTGCATTTATTAGGTAAAGTCCCTCTTATAACTGTGTCCCTCCCCCAAAAGGTGTGTCATACACTGTGACCCTCCCACCTCCTCCCTCCTTCCTTTTCTCTGTTCTCCCATTTCCCCTCCCCCACTGTGTACTAGATAATTAACTGTCCTCATATCAGAATTCAGTACACTCTATATGATTTTTTTAAAGGCATAAAACAGCTCTGGCATATTTGAATAGTAATATTTCAATCAAAATGAGCAATGGATTTGAGTGAAGGTTCTTTATATCATAGCCTGATTTTTTCAAGTTACAACTCTGGTCTAAACCACTTAATATAGTCAATTCTACATTATCTGTGTAGTAAAAGAGAAGCACAGTTCTATACAAAATACTAAAATACAAAATACAAAATACAAAATAACTGTATATCAAATTTGGGTTTACATTTGAATAAATCTCATTCTGATAGCTTTAAAAATCCCTATATAAAACAGTGAAAATAATCTCCAAAAGATCCTATTCTCCAATTTTCCTATCCTGTCGCTTGTCAACAACTGTTTATCTTACTCCATGCTGGAATGGACATAATCACCTTCTCAGACTATAAAAATCAAGCTTCTCTTAAAATTTGATGATTATACCCAGGGCAGAGAATAATCCCAAACGGCTGTAAATGTGCAGATAAAGACACCTCAAAGCTTCTCTGCCAGGCTGGTTTGTGAGATGAAATATATGAGTATGTAAATATACTTGAAGAGAAGGAAAAGTGAGTGGGGGGGGAAGTAACACTAAATTGGGGTGTCAGGTTGAGACATATATGATAGGGAGAAGGGTAAGTACAAAAGATAGTAGTGGATGAAATTGTTAAGGAATGGGCTAGTGGCAAGAGTACAGTATTCAGGAAGGAATTTAGACTTAGATCATATGGTGTAGGTTATGATAGAGTTATCCAAAAACCTCCTAATTCATATTTCAATGACTCAAACCATGACTCAAACAATCAGTTCTTTTTTTCTTGTATTTTATGGGAAAATCATGCTACAGTTTTTGCAACTGATATAACTTGTAAAGTTCTCACTATACACCCTTCACAACTCTCATAGATTGGCCAGTTTGCCTGCTAAACAGTGTAAACTCAATAAGTGTTGGTTATGTAAAAAAAAGACATAAAGAGATGGTATATATCTCTGTTCAGGAATAATTATTTTAAGCTTGAAGGGGATTGATTTTAGTTTAAGCCAGGCTGAAGAAAGATTCATTTCAGTGCTAAGTAAACTTTTTAAAGTAAAAACAAAGAAGATTTCCCTAAAATGGAGCCTGACTTAAATTGTAGGTTTAAGTAGCAAAAGACTCCTAACCACCCAGCTCACAATAGGTATAGGCAATAGGTAACCAAATTCTCTTCCAGCTACATCCTAACTAGCTACTGTCAGAAACAAATGTAGGATAAATCTAGGAAAACTCCCATGCTCAAATTTAGCAGAGGATCAGCTTTAATATAGGCCAAAAATTTAAATTAACTTTTAGAGGAAAAGATCTTGATAAGACCCAATATATTAGGTCAATTAAACACTGTGATTAACAACAAAAGAAAAACTTAAGTTTAGAGATGGACAAGTATCTGATAGCAGTTTTGACTATAACCAATTCATAGATATAATACCATTGCTATTGACTCTCTCATTCTACTCTTTGGCAATATTGGTGTACCTTTGGGATACTCAGAAAGATGGACAAAACCATTTAGACAGCTCTAGAAACTATAGAACTATGACCCACTTACTACTGCTTATTATGCAGTACATTTCTAATGAGTGTCCCAGTACATCCCAATAATTCTAAAATCTTACTAGATGCAGTAGAAGCTGCTGCACCTGCTCCAGGGAAATTTAATCCAAATCTGAAAGTTATACCACCAAGTGTTCTAGCCGAAGTTGTTGGGGCACCAACTGCAGAGAACAACATAATATTAAATATTACCCTTTAAATCAAAAACAGTGAGGAATTTATATACTCTTTTTCATTTGAAGATTCCTTTAGAAACTTCTGGTTAAACTTAAAAAAACAAACAAACATGGTCAATCCATTCATATGAAATGTCCAGAAATGATAAATCTATAGAGACAGAAAATAAATGAGTGGTTATTTGTAGCTAAGGGATCTTATTGGGATAGGGGAAATTCTCTAAAACTAGATGTGGTGATGGTTACACAATTCAATAAACTTACTAAAAATCATCAATTACACACTTAAATTAATTTTATGATATGTAAGTTATGATTCTTTAAAGTTAATTAAAAGATACTGTGATCCAGACATCTTTTCATTTTGCAGGCAAGGACATCAGAGGCAGGAGGAAGGAAAAAGTCTGGCAAAGGCTAGAGGGCAGATTTTAACGAAACATGGAATTAATTCAATACTTTGAACTCCATACCTCAGATATAGTAATACGAGGTCTGAAAATTAAGTTTGCAAACTTGCCACTGTGTGCTTACGTTGGCAGCACTGTAAAAACAACTTGGTAAGGTTTCATTACCTCCGTATATCAGTGTCTCATAGTTGTGTTTGTGTCGATGTGTGGTGGTGTCTTGCTGAGCAGTGTTCATTATTATTGTTGAGTGTTTTTGTGTGCCATACGATGGCAGCTCAGATGGTCATTCCAGAAAAAGAGCTCCAAAACTGCTTTGAAAGGTGGACAAGGTGCTGGTGTTGTTGTATAGCTTCCCAAGGGGAGTACTTTAAAGGTGACCATAGCGATAGTTAGAAATGAGGGATGTAGCACTTCTTCTAGGGTGAGTTTTTGAACTTAATTATTAGACCTTGTATTCATGAAATCAATTATATTAATCGTTGAGAAGGATATTGCTTGCATATAACAAAAAGATTCCAGAATCATGTCTCAAAATTAAATTCCACTTGGTAGAAAATAGAACTCATGTAGTAACCAACAATTTAACTAATGTTTATGCCAATTGTCCAAGAGGATGGGGATGGTATGCCACTATTCATGCTGGACTAAGCACAAGCATTTTCTAGCAAGTTTTAATGCCAGGAATAGTAACAATCTTGTTATCATAGGGCTTTGAGGGGAACATGTTACAGCGAGGGTTACAATACAACAACGTTTAATGATGAACATCATGGCATTGTGAAGAAGATACCTTGAAAGCACAATTTATAGGGATTTGTAAGAAAGAGTTGCTTAAGGCATTATAGAATTCAATATTTGTTATTGCACTGCTAATGGAAGATGTGCAACAAAGAAGGTGCGGGTATGAGATAATTAGTGTCCCATCACTTAGCTCAAATTATCCCGATGTGTCTTTTGGAGGAAGAATTCATGAGATATCACATTGTCAATTGGAATCCCCAAACTATAGCTAGTCCTTTGTCATGTTCCACTTCTGACAGGTAAGATGTAAAGACCACAAACCTAGCCTGTATAGAAGAACATACTATATATCGCTTCTCGGCCTTTTGGCTAAGATCAAGTGTCAAAGAATATACTATAGCAGGGCTCCCATTTTATCTTACTCACATGTATAGTAAAGACTTCTTCTCTTTGGACATACTAGGAAAAACTCTGACTCTTCCTGGTCTTAATAGGTTCAAGAAGATGTTTTAGAACATCACATTAATAAATTATATGCTTAAAGTTATCATTTTAAGTTATAATAACTATGTTTATAAAAAAAATAGGTAAATCCATGACCACTAGGCTCTTAAGCAAAGCTACTATTGATATCAGCAGTTATAGATGTGCCTAAGAATAATGATGATTTCTGAGATGCAGGAGATTCATAGCTTATATTGGCAAATCAAGTAAAATGGCCTCATGGGAAAGAATAGCATTTTCCCTGAAACAAGTAACTTACTTGAGAACCCAGTGGGAGCAGTGGAGGTAGAAGCGTTTGATAGTGAAGTAAACAGCATGGTGCTTGGACTAGTAGTGTTGGCAAGAGTAGATGCTAGAGCCAAACCTAAAAATCAAAGTAACAAGCAGAAAAATATGTCACCAAAAATAACTTTTTCAAAGTAAAACACTATAACAAGGTTCATTTATATGCATAAATAAAAACAAAGCAAGAAAAACAGGTACCCTGAAAGCCAATCAGTACTTCTCAGAACACCTAACCTTCTAGCACCATCATAACAAAGAAATTTTACTTCTCTGAAAAAAGGAGTCATAGGCGGGGAATCCACTTCCAGAACTGCAGAATAAGAAGTCTCATGAACCCATTCACCAGTAAAACATCTGTAACCAGCAAAAAGTATTTTTTAAAATTGAAATGGCTAGAAGTTATTCTAAAAATAAAAAAATGAAGACTTTACCTCTTTTATGTTTACATGGATGGAGCTGGAAAATATTCTTCTTAGTAAAGTCTCTCAGGAATGGAAAAAAAATATCCAATGTACTCAGTACTACTGTGAAACCAATTTACAATCACTCACACTTGCATATGAAAAATGAAACACAACTATAGCCTAGGATGAAGGAGGGAAGGGGAGGGAGAAGGGAGGGGAAAGGAGGGGGTTGGGTCAATAGAGGGAGGGTTAGTAGGTGGACCACACCTATGGAGCATATTGCAAGTACAAGTTGGATCTATCAGGTGTAGAACACAAATGTCTTAATTCTGTAATTGGGTAAATGAGGTGAAGGCTATGTTGATTTATAGGATGTCAGCACTCCAATTTGTACAAATAATCAACACTTTGAATCCCATAATGGCATAAATGTATTTATGATCTATATACAAACGACTCAAAAAAAATAAAAAAATTATAATAAAATAAAGCAAAAATAAGTACAACAAATGAAGAAATATTATTCAAGAAAATCTGTTGAAATTTAGTAAGAGTAACTGTAAGAGTCTATGGCATATGAGTCACAAGGCACTCCCTCCTTCCCCCATCCCCCTGTTAACTTTGATAGAACCTACATTCCGGACAGGAGTGGCCAAGAAGACTGGACTCCCTCTGCCCCCAGCTCCCAATCAAAGGGATACAGTATCTCAATGGCAGGGACAGGTATCTAGCATTTCTTATCACCTCCAACACAGAGTTAAAGGAGTAAAATACCTGGTAAGTACAACCAATAGTAGTAAATACAACCAAGAGTCCAGGGGTTTCCTTCCTTCAGCTAGCCCTGACTCACAGACAGGAGGCTTTTTCCTAGGAATATAAGGTTGAAAACACTGGCACCCCAGTGTTCTAAGTCTGATTGTGTCATCACAGCTCAATTATAGGTCAAAGGTCCATGCCTTAAGTGGTAAGCAAGAAGACCAATGGCTACTGCCACTGCCCAATACTCAAAGCCCTGGCTCAAAGATTTTGATCAGGGATAAAGGCGGTTCATAACAGTGGAGAGCTCCTAAGCTAGCCCTAAAAGAAGTAAATTTTTTTTTTTAAACAGAGTGTGAGGACCTTTAAGCCACAAAAACTTGCTCTAAAAAAAAAGGAGATTTTGGCGTTAAGAAATTAAGAGGAAGCAGGTAGCTTCATAAGATTAATAGTTAGTAAGTCTAGTTATGTCTAGTTACATAACTGGGGGGAGGGAGAAAAGCTGTAAAGAACCATTTTGAGAATGGAAGAATTAAGTACTAATATATACTATAACATGAAAGAACCTTGAAAACATTACATAAAATGAAAGAAGCCAGACACAAAAGGTACATATTGTGTGATTCCATTTACATGAAATGTCCAGAATAGATAAATTCAAAGATAGAAAGTATATTAGTGGTCCCCAGGAGCTGGAAGTAAGGGGTAATGGGAAGTGACTACTAATGGGAACAGGTTATTTGGGGGGTAATGAAAATGTTCTCAAATTACATCATAGTGATGGTTGCACACTCTAGGACTAATGTTAAAAATCATTGAATTGTACACTTTAAAAGGGTGAATTTTAAGATATATGAATTATATTTCAATTGTGCTATTATTAAAAAACACATTAGTATCTCAATAAAAGCAGTAAAAGCACTTGACAAAATCTAATACCCTTTCATGATAAAAAACACCCAATAAAAAAGGATGAGACAGGAACTTCCTCAACATGATAAAGGGCATTAAAGAAAAATCCATAGTAATATCATACTTAATGGTGAAAGAATAAAAACATTCCTACCATCATCAGGAACAAAAGGATATCTTAGCACTTCAACAATGTATTAGAAATTCTAGCCAGGACAATTAAGCAATAAAAAGAAATAAAAAGAATCCAGATTAAAAATAAAGAAGTAAAACTATCTTTATTCATAGATAACATGATCATGAATACTGAAAATTATTAGAAATCCATAAAAATAATCTATTAGAACAATAAACAAAGTCAGCAAGTTTGCATGATACAAGATAAATATATAAAATTAAATTACATTTCTATATTCTAACAATGAACAACTCCAAAATGAAATTAAGAATGTAATTCTAGGGGAGAAGAATCCCTATTCAATAAATGGTGCTGGGGGGACTGGATAATAACATGTAAAAGACTGAAACTGGACCCACACCTTTCACCACTTACAAAAATCGACTGACAATGGATAAAAGATTTAAATCTAAGACATGAAATGATAAAAATCCTAGAAGAAAGTGTGGGGAAAATTCTTAATGATACTGGTCTAGGGAAAGATTTTATGGAGAAAACTCCATTAGTAATCACAAAAATGAAAACAAAAATGGGACTTAAACTGAAAGGCTCTGCACATCTAAGGATGCAATAATTAAAGCAAATAGACAACCTTCAGAATGAGAAAAGATATTTGCATGTTACAAATCTGACAAAGGGTTGATAACTAGAATCTATAGAGAACTCAAATTAATCAAAATTAAACAAAATTAAATCAAAATTAAACAAAAAAAAGAGCAAACAATCCCATATATAACTGGGCAAGAGACATGAACAGAACTTTCTCTGGAGAAGACAGACAAATGGCCAACATACATAGGAAAAAATGCTCATTGTCCCTAATCATCAGAGAAATGCCAATCAAAACCACCCTGAGATATCACCTAACCCCAGTAAGAATAGCCGGCATCACAAAGTCCCAAAGTAGCAGATGCTGGCACAGATGTGAAGAAAGGGGAACACTTTACACAGTTGGTGGGCAAACTAATACAGCCTCTTTGGAAAGAAGTATGGAGAGCCTCCAAGAGCTAAAAGCAGAACTTCCATTTGATCCCATAATCCCATTAGTAGGTATCTTACCCAGAAGAAAAAAAAATCATTTTATTATAAGGACATAACACAAACATTGTAACCTAATCATTTGCACCCTCATATTAATCTGAAACTTAAAGAAGTAAAATGGTGTAGCCTCTTTGGAAAACTGGCATTTCCTCTAAGGGTTAAACACAGAGTTACTATATAACCCAGTCATTCCACTCTTAGGTATATACATATGCCAAAAAGAAGTGACATATATATCCACACAAAAAAGTGCACATGAATCTTCATGGTAGCATTATTCATAACAGACAAAAGGCAAAAACAACCCAAATGTCCATTAAGGGATGAATGGGTAAATCAAATGTGGTATATTCATAAAATGGAATTTTGTCATAAAAGAAAAAGTACTAACGCATGCTGCAACATGGATAAGCCTTGAAAGCACTATGCTAAGTGAAAGAAGCTAGTTGCAAAAGATCAAGTAATGCATGATTCCTTTATATGAATTGTCTATAATAAAAAATTCTATATAAACAGAAAGTAGATTAGTGGTTACCAGAGACTGGGGAAAAGGAAGAATGGGCAGTGACTGCTAATGGGTATAGAGTTTCTTTAGGGGATGATGAAAATGTTCGAACATTGACTGTACTGATGGTTGCATAACTCTGTGAACCACTGAATTGCGCACTTTAAATATGTGAACTGTAAGGCATGTTAATTATATCATAATAACATTATGAGAAAAGTAATACATAGAAATCTGGAATAAATTTTCCTAAAACAGATTAAAGCCGGAGAAATTAAGTACAGAAAGACAGTAAGATTGAGTTACTTGAAGAGTCACTATAGATCACTGTACCCATGGCCCTGAGCTGAACCAACTTTTTCTAGGCTCTAACATGTAATTACAGATATTCTATTTCACCCAGAAAAAGGTAAAAGTGCTTAATAAGTTACTGCACTTATATCTATTACTGCCTGCATCCAACTGTAGAGCAATTCAGTTACAATGGAAGACTCTGCTGTCTAAAACATCTAGGCCCACAGAGGGTGAAAGGGGCAGAGAGGAGATGCTATAAAGAAATTGTGAACTTTATCACATATCTAAAACTGCTTAAAACGTATAGAATAGAACAGCCCTATGTTTCATTTAGAAGTACCACATGTATACTTTTAAAGAAATAACCAATTTTATAGCAAAGCAATTTATACATACCATTCATTATCTACTGGTGAGGCTGAATTCTTAACGTGGGGTTAGTGGCTACTTTCTTCATTTGAAATTGCTTATTCACGTCATTGAGAATGCTGTTTTCTTATCACTGATTTTTAATAAAAATATATATCAAGGCTATTTAATTTGTTACATGTTGCAAAAATTCTCCTAACCTGGTTTGTCATTCATTTTTTCATTTTGTTTTTAGTTTTTATGTAGTCAAATCTTCCCATTCCATTTTTTAAAATAAGCTCTGTGTCTCCACATGTTTAAAAAGACATTCCCACTTAAACATATGAAAAGATGTTTAAGCTCATTTTTAACAGAAAATTGCAAATTATAACAACGTTGTGAATAATTTCACCTAACAGATGGCAAGAAGTCAAAACTAGTAATACACTCTGTTAAGGACACTGTAAAGAAACAGACAGCCTCACAGATTCCTAATGGGAGTGTGAACTGATACAACTCTGATGAAAAACATGTGGTCAGGATTTCAAAAATCATAAATATCTTTTGAACCAGTAATACTTTTTCTGGAAATTTATCCACAAAAAATGTACTGTTGTACAATATCTGTAAAATGACACGAAAAATGATATCCATGGCATCCCTGTTTGAATTAGCAAAGGAGTAAATAACCCAAATGTACGAGTGAGGGACTGCATATATAAATTATAGCACAACCAGACCATGGAATACTACAATGCCATAAAAAATACTAAGAAAGATATATTGATTGATGTGAAAAACTCCAAATG